TTCAAGATCAACGGTGAGAAGTGCGAGTTTGGCCGCACCCGTGTCTTGTGCTTGGGTCATGAGATTTCCGCGGAAGGGTTGAAGCCCGATGACGCGAAGGTGGCCAGCATTCGTGATTGGCCGCGTCCTCAGTCCGTGACTGAGATGAGATCATTCTTAGGGATGACAGGCTACTATCGCAACTTCGTGGAGAACTATAGCATAGTTGCCGCCCCTTTGACTGATCTGACCTGCCTTGACACCCCATGGGAGTGGACTGAGAGATGCGAGGCTGCTTTCAGACATCTGAAGCATGCGTTGACGCATTACGAAGTCTTGAAACTTCCTGATCCTGACAAGCCATTCATAGTGACTATGGATGCTAGCGAATATGGCATAGGCGCCGTACTTGCACAACACGAGGGGAAGAAGTTGAGGCCTGTCGAGTACATGTCCAAAAAGATGCCTTCTCAGAAGTTGGCTAAGTCCACCTATGAGAAAGAACTCTATGCGGTGTACAAGGCTCTGACCCATTGGAGACACTATCTCCTTGGGAGGTTCTTCATCCTCAGGACTGATCATCACACCCTGAGATGGATGAGAACTCAGCCAGTACTCTCCGACGCTCTCAAGCGTTGGATCGAAGTCATAGAGCAATATGACTTCGAGCCCCAGTACATCAAGGGCGAGTACAACAAGGTTGCTGATGCCTTGTCGCGTAGACCTGATTTCTCAAGTGCGCTGATCACTGAGTTTGGGCTTGAGGACAATGTTACTCAGTCGTTGGTGGAAGCCTATCGTGAGGATCCGTTCATTTCCGAGATCATCCGCAGACTCGAAGCGAAGGACAAAGTGACTTCTACTGAGTTTGAGTAGGTCAACGGCTTGCTGTTCCTCGAGAAGGCTGGGAATAAACGTTTGTGTGTCCCGAATAGCGAGTCTTCGCGTAGTTTGTTTTTAGGAGAGTGCCATGATGCCATCGGCCATTTTGGGTACAAGAAGACCGCAGCTAATCTGCTGCAGCGGTTCTGGTGGCCCACAATGATGCGAGATGCCCAACTGTATGTGGAGACTTGTCAGGTCTGTCAAAGGGACAAGCCCCGTACKCAGGCTCCTCTTGGGCTACTGAAGCCCCTTCCGATTCCGGAACGGCCTGGTGAGAGTCTGTCCATGGACTTCATGGATACTCTGATCACCAGCAAGAGTGGGATGCGACACATCTTCGTCATCGTGGATAGATTTAGTAAGTATGCTAGGTTAGTAGCAATGCCGAAAACAGCAAGGACGGAGTATGTGATCAGAATGTTCAAGGAGAACTGGGTTAGGGACTTTGGGTTACCGAAGTCTATTATTAGTGACAGGGATGTCCGATTTACCAGCGAACTGTGGAAGGCCGCTGCTGCAGAACAGGGAACCCAGTTGCAAATGACTTCTGGGAATCACCCAGAGGCCAACGGCCAGGCCGAGCAACTGAACCGCGCTGTACAACACCTGTTGAGGCATTACATCAAGCCCAACCAGGTGGACGGGGATAAGAAGCTTGCACTCATCGCCAGTCTGTATAACAATGCGGTACACTGCCACCGCGGTGAGCCCGAACAGTTTGCTACTGACTTTCAAGACTAGACTGCCCTTAGATTTTCTCCTTCCTGAGAATCAGTCGACTGCTGCACCAGGTACGTTAGAGTTTGCTTACCGCTATGAACAGAAGATGCAGCAGGCTGTAGAACAGATGGAAAAGGCACAGACGGCTATGATAGAATCTGCGAACAAACACCGCTGTGAGTCTTCATTTCAGGTTGGGGACAGAGTCTGGGTTAAGTCCTCAGAACTGGGACAGGAGCACGGGATCTCCCGCAAGCTCATGCCACAGTACTTTGGACCTTGGGAAGTTTTAGACATCGTTGGGACAGATCCAGATGGGCCATCTTATGTTATCCGGATCCCTGGTCATCTTCGAACTTACCCTGTCTTTCACGTCTCCAAGCTTGCACCTTTCAAGGAAACAAATGAGTTTCCTTCTCGTCGCTCAATGCTGCCCCCAACCATGGATGGAGAAGTGGACATCGATGACATCGTGGATCACAGGGAGCTGCCAGCTCAGAGACCTGCAGGAAGGGGACGTCCTCCGAAACCGAAGCTGCAGTACCGCGTTCGGTTCAGACATCATACTGATCCCAAGGAGGATCGTTGGTTCACGAGGGAAGAACTCATGCAGACCGCTCCTCAAGTTGTAGCTCATTATGAGAAATCTCTGCAGAAGGGAAAGCGCCCGATGGTTGAAGACTGAGCTTCTCAGAGGACTGTTGAAGCTAAGGAGGAGGGAATGCGAGGCCTCTGCCTCTATGAGCCCCTTTTTGGCCCCTCTCTACAGCCTGTCGGCCGCCCTAAGTGAAGGCTGGCTCGACGAGGCCCCTCAGGGCCTTATTTTGGCCTCTGCACAACTATGGAAATTCAGGCAGTTGCGCAGCGTCAGTTGGTTGAAAGAATCCAGGCCCTGGGCCGCCTGTGTGAATGTATGGAAAGCAGGCCCTGGGCTGGATACGGGTACTGGGCCAAACACAGGCCAAAGGCAGTTGGGCGCATACAACCACCTCAGGCCCAAGGCCTGTTTTCGTTCGTGCTGGGCCTCAGGCTACAGGGGCCTACTGGAAGCTTCCTGGGACTGGACGCAGGCAGGCCACTTCGATATAGCAAAGGGCCTGCCTCCTCATTCGGCATTCGGGTGCTGGC